GCTCATAGAAACAGTGTTGGAAATGAATCAGTTCCTAGACAAAGTGTTGGACATTTTTCAACTCATAGAGATAGTGTTGGTCAATTTTTACTTCCAAGAAATAGTATTGGAAGTGTTTCAAATCCTGGTCAATCATTCGGTGATGATAACATTTTTGACGCCGACAACGATCCTCAACAAGGTGATTTTGGTGAAGGAGCATCACAATTTGCTTAAAAAAAATATTAAATTTCATTTAATTATACATTATATACAGACGAGTTTTATGTTTTGTCATCTGTCCTAGAATAGTTTTTGTGTTGTGTCCTGTTGCTGCTTATTGATTTTTTTATATATGCTTTACGTCACTTGAATAATTTTCAATTCTTATTCAAGTTTTTTCTTAAGCTTATAATACTATTCCAGACTTTAACAACGTGTAAGAATAAAAAAAGAAAATCGACCAAAATTGAATCTTAATTACCATATAATTGTATGAGATAGACAAATATTGATTTGTTTCGGATGATACAAAAATTTATTTGATTACTCATTTTTAATATAAGAGGAAATATATTAAAGTCAAAAAGTCTGTTCTTTCATCATTTGATTCAACACGTTTTATTGCACATGAATAATTTCACCTTAATGTATATCACATAAAATATTAGTAACCCATGTTTCAGAATTTCTTGGCGTGACTACACAATCAGTTTGTTTAAGTAATTTATGTAAAACATTTGATTTTCATTGAATGGTGAAATTAATTTATAAACGCGACATATTATCAAGAAAACCTATACAATAAAATAAATGTACGAAATATTCTACTTTTTTTTTCAAACATATATAAGTTAGGTTATGACATATTAAGATATAGAGCAATATATTCAAAATGAAAAGAAACATAATTTGTACAATATAAAAAAAAATATTCGATCATTGTTTATCGATATTATCATCAATCCAAGCGGGTACAACAGTAATATTAAGTAATGGGAGAGTTCGTGTAGGTTTCGATGATTTCTTAGTTAGACTTTCCATAGTTGGAATTGAAGTGTCTATTTCATTTGTTGATTTCTCTTGATTAAAATCAGTTTTTTGTGTTACCATTGATTGTGGTCGGGCTGGTGGTGGCGTTATTTTATTTTGATATTGTCGACGTAACCATAATGAACTACGACGTCGTTGTCTTTCATTTGTAATAACAGCACTAGCTGATGTATTTAATAAATTCGTATTTTTCGAATCAGCATATACTCCATTTTTAACTTGTGGTAAAATTTTAGCTCGTTTCGATGGTACAAGTGGAATTGATGTTACATTTAATTCCGATGTATTTGAATTGGACGGTGAAATTTTTAAAGATACTGATGATATAGGAATACCTTTAATACCATTTGCTGTATTTGTTGCAACACTATTTAATTGTAATGGTGATGACTGACGTTTACGATTTGAATTTTTCGGAAGATTTCGTTGAGAATCTCGTTTTGGACCAGGAGGTGGTTTTGAACGAGTAATTTGAAAAGATGTTTGAGTTTCTTGATTGGGATAATCTTTATGATCTCGTATGAAATAAACATTTCGTTTAAATAATATAAAACTTACCATGATGATCATTTAGTGATGTATGATTTAAATATGCGCTACCATTATTACCCTAGAAAATAAAATCAAAGAAAAACAAAATTTTTCATAATTGAATTCGAAAAATCAATACTAATTGAAGTATTCGATTATCTTGACCATCTGTTGATGTTGCTAATGAAGCTCGTCGTGGTTGAATTCCATGTAATGGAAAAAGTTTTTGTGATGATGCTTCACTACTTGGATTCATTGGTTCATAAGAATTATTTAAATTATTATTACGATTATTTAATAATTTTGAACGAAAATGTTTTGGTAATAATCGATCTTTACATAAGAAAATACTGAGTACAATCAAAAAGATAATTAATGCAAGACCAAGTACAATTCCTAATATAATATACCATGATGGTGAAGTTGAATTTGATGAACTATTTGCTTGATTCTAAAAAAAACTAATAATTAACATTTGAATGAAATACAAGGGGTAAGAGCTGGCACCCAGCACTCCGCACTTGTTCCGTGTTTTGCGGTGCTGGATGCCAGCTATTACCCCCTTGATGAGATATTTGATTAACTTACATTTGAACTATTATTTCCTCCTTCTGAATTAGTTGTTGTTAAATTTCCATTAATTCCTGTTGTTGATGTAGTTGATGTAGTTGTAGTTGTAGTTGGCCAATATGTTGGCGGTGATAAAGTTGTAATTGTTTCATTTGCATAAACAGAACAAAAAATATCTGTTATATCCGGTAAAGTATAATTTATACATGCATTTGATTCCGTAAAATTTGAAAATATATATTTTTGTCCAATTGTTGATGATGGTGATGTGCATGTTGCTTGTGTTAATAATGCTGTACGATGATTAATTTCTGGAAAATCATTTATTTGATCATTAATATATGTTATTAAATAATATGATTGACAATCACATATTAAAGGATTATTTGTTACTAACATATTTGATATTCCAACGACAAAATAAGCTATACCTAAAAAACTACTTGTTTCACATGCGCCATATTGTTCAAGTAAAAGATCAGATATACGTTCAATTTGATTATCATTTACATAAAAATATCGTGGATCAGGTGTTTCAGTAAACTGACTAAGTGATATAGGAATTTCATTTGTATAATTTCGTATTAAATTATGACTTAAATCAATTGTCATTGTATTTTCTAAATAATACCAAATATTTATCGAAATTTAAAAAAAAAATTATTTACGAGTTTTAACAAATAAAGGCCAAAGATCAACATCAGTTATTTGATTATAACTAAAATTCATTGATTGAATTGTTGTAGAAAAATTAAGAAATACTTTTGCATCAATCATAGGCATTGTTGTTAAATTATTTTGAGAAAAATCTATTGATTGTAAATTTATATTTCCATTAAAAAAATTTATATCAATTTCAGTTATGAAATTATTCGAAAAATCGACTTGGAGCAAATTTAAACCTAAACTTTCAAGTTTAGATGTATTTAAAAAACCACTTATCATATTAAATGATAGATCAAGTATAGCAATATTTGGATACGATATCGAAATATCTACTGGTAATACTGTTAAAGGACCACGCATACCAGATATTGATGAAGCAACACGTAATTGAGTAACATTTGTTTGAAATGTATTATTGATAATTATAGGTATTTCAGTAATATTTATCGCTGGATCACAGATAATCTCTAAATCTATGTAATCAGTTAGTGTACAATTGCACGAAGTACCAGAGCATAAATTTGTTAGAATGATTGAATGAGTAGACTTGATTAGTAATGACTAATGAATAAGATGAACAAAATCGTAATATAAAATGATAGTATACTTACAGTAAAAATAAGAATAAAATAGGTACGTAATGTATTTCGTTGCATTGTCAATCACAAATAAAATATATAAATTATTCGAAATAACAAAAAAGATTTCTTTTTTTTTTTGTAATTCTCTTTCAGTCGTTTGTCGATCAGTAATACACAATTGACTATTGTTTGTAATGTAAAAGAAACCAAATAAAAATTCGATTGAAAAAAGAATCTCTTGATATGTCTCTATATTTGTAAGAAGGTACTTATTTCTTCAGAAAAATAGATTTCAATATTTGATTGTAAACTACATACATATGTAACTAATTTAATTTTCTTATATTTGATGAATAAAAATTTGAAATAAAAGTACGAATTATTGATTAGAATATTTGTTCTTAATGTACAAATGATTATTGAATTACGATATGTAATAATTTATAATAGTTCTCTTGAAATATGATAAGAAAAATTGATCAAAATCAATGATACTTTTTTATATATAATAATATATAAGAAACAATATTGATCGAAAATTGTTTCATAGGCTTCATTTATATATTTGTTATACATGGTAAGAAAAAGAATTTTTGTATAGTGAACGTATATTTTTCTTTTGAAACTATTGGTTTAATATTAAGCAACAAATATTAAGAGATGGACATATTTAGTCAATAAAATTAAGATTTAATATTATTTTCACAGATACAGATTCATTCGTTTTGTATATCTAAAATTCTGTAGATTTAATTAAACGTATAATATCAAATAACGATTTATGATACATTACAAAATATGTGAGAAAAAATGTCATATGTTGTATTTAAATATTTTCATCAGTTGATAAATCACATTGTGGATCTAATAGAATTGCAGAATCTTCCTCGTGCACTCTCGCACGTGGGAGGAAATTTTTGATTTCTGAGAAGATTCTGCATCCCTGAAACCTAACCAAATAATCATAACTGAACAATTACATAATACAAATAACGTTAAAATATTTAATTAAGCTAACACTTATATGAAATACAACGAATTGAAGGAGCTATACTAAAACAAGCAATGGTTATTGTACATAAACAGCCCTATACCTCCATTTCACATATTTCAAGTATTAAATAAGACAATATCTTGACGAATGAAGTCTAAATACTATGGAATGTTAATATAATTAAAACGTTAGCTATATGATTGTATTCCGCTTGCTGTATAATTTGATCAAACAATAAATAGATGGAATATTGCATATTCTCGTTATCGAAGAAACAATAAGTAGTTAAGCTCAATAGTAAATACACAAAATTTCGCTCTTCAAAAATCGCATTTAGATTAGTTATATATATTCACATAAAATAAAGTTTTTAGCTCTACACTCACACCCATCTTCACAATTCCGAAATAAAATCATATTAAATTATCTTTCCAACTTTATATAACACAAAAAACTGTTCTTTATTAAATTATCGTCAATTCGACGTTCAAACATACAAGCAATTTATCACGAGAAGAAAAAAAACATAATGTAAAAAATAATATTAAATGAACTATAAAAAAGAGAAGAAATGTTTCTTAGTCTTTATATACTTTTATACAACCTTTAACCATTTTACGACATTTGACATTTGGACATGAATGTCTATCAATAAGAGCTTGACCACATTCAAAGCAAACACATAAATGTCTACATGGTAATAGAAGACCTGATAAACCATTTGGACATACTCGATTTAAAACAGTTGCTTGACAACCACCACCAATAGCTGGTGGAAGAGTTCGTGCTTCGATATCTGTTGGTCGATAAAGTCCAACTAATCGAAGACTAGTTACACGTCCATTCATAATAAATTCTAAATGATATGATGTTTGTTGTACTTGTGGATTATCATTAACAGTAAGATCAATATGAAACAATGGTTTAACATTACGATTATCACATGAAAATGTAATATGTCCATCCGGTAATATCCGTATACCAATTTCATCACCTAATGTTAAATGATCAAATGTTGTATCAATTAATTTCGTATGTTCATTCGATGATTTTCCATCAGTTAAACACCGTATTGTTAAATAATTTGTTAATGTATGATCCATATCAAGTATTTGCATAACAATATACATACAACGTTTAAGATTTTCATCAATAGTTATTGATGATGATGAAGATTTTCTTACAGCTATATTATTTGATATTTCACAATTTTCATCACAATTTTTCATTGTAACAAAACCAGGTAATAATTCACCGCTATAATAAATTGAGGAATTTTCTTGTTGACGATGATTTGTATATTGCATATAACGTTCTCTTGCTCGATCAACAGGATTTGGTAGAACACGTGCTTCTGTTTGAACAAGACGTATTTGAGAAACCATTCCATTTAAATCAAGTGCACACCATATATCTTTTGTTATAGGAGAAACAGTTAAATATTTAGCAAAATCTGTATTATCATAATCAATATATATCTAAATAAACAACAGAGAATTCTTAACTGAAAAATATGATTGAATAAACTATTAATATGATCTTATCTATTCATAATAGTTACTCAAACGGAGGAATATCATCTTTTTGACATACTTTCTTTTTCTATACTAGAATAAGTAATCATCTTAATTAGAGATATGATAACAGATAAGAATTTCTCTTCATATAATCTTATATATCTTACCTCGCCTTCAGCTGTATATTTTAGACGAATAGTTTTGTTTTTTTTAATAATTGGTACACCACGTGGTGCTGGTACAAACCAATCACGATTATCATTTTGTGGCATTGATTTTGGTAATGTTTCTCGTGTGAATACATCTGGATTAATTGTTGTTAAACCAATACGTATAAGTCCATAAAAATCATTTGATAATTCTTCAACATAGAATTGTACTATTTCATGTGATAATATTGGTCGATTTGTAAATAATAAAGTATTGTTTAGTCTATCACGAGTTGCACGAGTATTATTCTCACTTAACCGTATTTGATCACCATGTACTTCATGAAAACGTAATGGTTCAACTATAGATACTTGAGAATGATTATTTAAAGCCATTAAATTTCTATGTGAAAAAATAAAATTCTATGGAAAAAAAATTTCTTGCGAGATGTCAATACTTTACTATGTCAATATAGATATCCAATAGTTTAATAAAAATAAACAAAACTTCTTTTCTAATGGATCATTATAATTAACCATTCATATAAACTATAATCACAAAAGTATTTTTAAAGAACAAATTATTTCTTTTTTATGATGTATTTTTGATTTTTAACAAAATCTCTGAAGAATAATAATGTATGAATTGATTCAGTATATTCACGTCAACGTACGACATCATGCATAGCGTTACAATCAATTTATTTTCATTTCTAAACGATATATTTTTTGAAATATTAAAGATCGATTAATAATCGTAATAATAAAATAGTTTAACCGTCGAACCGTGTTCTTATTTTACTACATAATGAGAACTTAAAATTTTGTTTAATTTAAGTTGGGCGTGGGCGAATCGAAGCTTGCAGCATAATTTTCATCAGACATGAATACGATTGTATCAGTCCCGATAAATGAAAACGTTCCTGATTAAAGATTTTAAGAGTCAAAAAAAGCGTTGTGGGTCTTGTCGGACTTACGGAAACCGTTTAAGGGTTAAAAGGAAACTAATCGAAATATAAAGTGAAGTTAAATAATTAGTTTTATTGTCAAAGTAATATTAGCCTATTCCTAATGTCTATTAAGACATAATCTTCAATTACTTGTACAAACCATTTTGTAATAATGTATAGATACTAGATTTTTCTTCATTTTATAATCAAATAATTTCTATATTCGAATATCGAATAAAAGAAAACGAAATGATTATCGGACTTCAATCAGTGTATTATCCAGGTTTCTATTTTCGGGTGTGTGAATCGAACTGTCGAGTGAGTGCCACTCAATCAATCTACCCGCCTGATAAAACACTGGGTCGAAAAACTGCAATACTACGAAATTTTGCTAATACATGTACTATTGTAAAACAAGTTTCACCTTATTGCCTAAAACAGCTGGTCTTTTAATCTTCGTTTAATAAAACAATTACTTATATCTCTATAAAAGATGATCGGAAATGAATTAAAATCTATATTTTTCTACAAAATAATTTCTATAAGAATATTTAAAAACTAAAAGTAGATACAAATGATTAGGCAATCTTTTTTGGTAATTTACATCTGATTTTTTTCTCTCATGATATATAAATATTCATATCTTCTATTAAAATATCTTTTCTTGTGAATTAACAACAAATAAAATAAATTAAATTTTGATACGTAATTGAAAAATTTTATAAAAGAAACTCTATCTCTCTTTCATACCTTTACAAATAAAATAAAAAATAACACTCGATAGTTTATGTCAACTAACGACATCTTTTTTTATAAACGTTCTATCAATGATCATCCTTGTCCTTTCCTTAAAGATGATAAACATGATCATTGCTTGTTCTTACAACACTTTTGTTACTTGTTTTTTTTCCTGTTCTTCGTTCATTATCTTGAATAATATTTTGTATCTATAAATTGAATAACGATGAATGCGTCTATACAATTTCATCCAGTTCATGGTGAACATATTAAATTATCACGAAATAATACAGTAGCAAAACGTGTTGATAGTTTTTGTAAAGGCATTTGTTTCAGTAATCGAATAGTTCAAATACGTGAAAAAGTTTATGTTCGTCTTCTCAATAAAAGTGTTCAATGGACAGGTTTTCTTCGTCTTGGTGTAACAACATGTGATCCTAATACTCATCGAACATCATCTTCCTTGCCTCGTCATGCATGTCCTGATTTAACTTGTCGGCCTGGTTCGTAATTTTCTTTTATAACAAAGCAAAAAAAAATAATAATAATCATTTATTTATTTTTTTTTCTTGACAGGTTATTGGGCGAAATGTGTACCAGAAAATTGCTTTGATGTAACAAATAAATTAACTTATTTTTATGTTGATGAAAATGGTGAATTATTTCTTAATACACCTACTGGAGAAATTTCTCTATTGACTGGTTTGTTAAAATTAATAATTTATTTTTTTATTCTCTTATAATTCTATTTTAGGAATAGTTGTACAAGAACCACTTTGGGCATTATTAGATATCTATGGTAATTGTATAAGTATTGAATTAGTTGATGATCTTCAACAACGTCCTGTTCCACTCAATGATAGATTTCGTAATATAAATGCAACAGTTACAACACCTTTTTTTAAAGATATTCGAAATGATCTGAGTCCATTACCATTTATACTTGTACATAGTCCATCAATAACATTTTTATCATCGCCATCTAATACTGCTTCTAATCAATCAATTGTTCTATATGATAATACAAAAAATACCGATGGTCTTGTCTTCTTTTCGGAACCATTAACAATAAATTCAGGTTTATTACTACAAATCGTAAGTATTCTATCACCAAATGAATCTTCTTTACGTCCAACAACAGCATCAGCATCAAATTCGTTGACATCACATATACAATTCGGTTTAACAAACTGTATTATAAAAGATTTAATACGTACAAAAGAATTTCCATTTGATATTGAACAAATAAATAATCGTTCGGAATTTTGGATTATACAAGATTTTAAATTAGGAAATAAAACAACAATTGATCGTGATGATGAATTTTTATTTACATTTAATCAAGATGGTATTATTGAATATTCACATAATAATTCTAAACTAAAGGATTTTATTCATGTTGATCCGAATCTTAATTATTATCCATTTCTTGTTTTTAAAGGTGATATTGTAGCGATACGTTCTATAGGTTATTTAAAAACTCTTGAAAAATGTCGATCATTACAACAAATACATCCTCTAACAAAATTTAATCAAGAATTATCTTCAACAATTAATAATAATGACAATAATGTTAATAATAAAAGTATTGGTATTAAAGATGAAAGTGATTCGAAATTAAATCATGAATGTACAGTATGTTTTGATCGAAAACGAGATACAGTACTTATTCCTTGTGGACATATTTGTTTATGTTATTCATGTGCAGATGAATTATATCAACGTGGAACAAGACAATGTAAGTAATGAAATAGAAAAAAAATAAAATTATAGAAGAATTTCAATCCTTAGTTTAATAATCTTCTGAAAATTTTAATTGAAAAATATATTTCCTTTTTGAGATATTTATTGATCTCTTATTTCATTTGATTATGAAAAAAGTACATTAAAATTAATCACGCTACGATTTTTTTTTATAAAAGTCATCTCGAATTACACTAGGATCAAAATTTTATAGAATTCGATATTTTTGTTCTTTAGGTCCAATCTGTCGAGCAACAATAACTTCTATTAATAAAGTTTATTTGGCTTAAATAATAAAGCATTTATATGTTATTGTATATATAATAAGTAGTTATGAACAAGAGATCTATCACTGAACGAGTGGTTAAATTTTGGAAACAAATATTCTAAATTTATCTATTATCTTTTTACTTCTGATAAATATCAGTTAATATTAGATTATTCTTTTCTCTTTATTTTTTTTGTTGAAGTTGGAATCAACCATGACTACCTTGATAAAATCATCCATTCTTACCAGTTTTTTTTCTTTTTTTGATGTGTATTTTTTTCTTTGTTCTATATCATTGAATGTTTATGTATTAATATGCCAACCACATGGTAAATAAAACAAAAACAAACATGAATGCTTTTACATTTTGGAAGAATTTGTCAAATAGATTATGTAAAATGAATAAATCATTTTCAAAAAATAATCGTGATAGAAAACACGAACTTTTAAAACTTGCGTCATAGATGGCCAAAATTTACAAAAGAATTTGATACTATTATTAATAGTATTATTCATCATTAATATAAATATTTAATCAACAGATTTCTTTTGTTCAGTATGCTTTTATTATGTTTCAAGTGGGATGTTGATAAATAATTGATTAGCTACATCTTGAATATACAAAATGAAATTTCTTTCATTGTCGTTGAGATAGAAAGAAACTTTTTTTATTGAGAATAAACCTATGACTGCATATTTAATTATTACTGTTTAATATATAAATAAAACTCTACAAACTGTTAATAAAAACAGAATTTCTATGTTATTTGTATTTTCTTTTCCGACAGGATTATCTGTCATGGAATATCATTCAATGATTGTTCTTTCATATCATTAATAAATGTTTGTACAAAAACGATGTATATATCTATATGATTCGTTGAACTGATACTGAATGTTCATCGCATGCAGGATTATTAAAGAAACAGATGACAGATTCATATTCATTCAATCATTATATTATTTAAGATTTATTTTGATGTGTTTAATTGGTAAAAAATTATGCAAAATAATTATAGTAGTTTGCATGTGAAACAAGTATTTTTGTTTGATAATATATGTGTATCAGACAAATTAGTTTATTACTTTAAAGATGTTTTCATATTGTGATGGAAGTTACTTAATTCTTAAAATAGTTTTGCACTTCATTCTATATTTATCTAATTATCTGTTTCTGATAAGCCATTGTATTAATAAAAATCTATTCATAAATAAAATGGAGTTAAAACAATGATTTCACCTTGTTCACATGATATATATTAAACCAATATTTTAAGTCTAATTACACATTTGGATAGGCAGATATTCAAGATGAGGATAACTGTTAATACATGATTACAAAAGTTATTAAACTTTCGATAATATCGTTTTTATAGACAGTTTCAGTATACTTTATAGCCTTTGCTACTTTATACTACTATTATCTACATGACAGTTAATTACAGAATGTGTCAATGTTTGTTATCGTCGTTCTATTCACCATTCAGGTATGTAATCATTGTTTATTTCTTATTCGTTCCTAATATTACTTTTATTTCACATGTCCCTGCTTTTAATGACTATTCATCCATGTAGACTCGTCATTATTCTTTCGATAAAAATAAAAAAGAATAAAAACTATACTTTCTCTTTCGTTTTGTATTACTAGCATTATAATAAATCGATAAATGGAAGCTCCTCGTCCACCATCATCATCTGCACCAGCACCACCGCCACCACCACCAACGTTTGTATATTTATTAGATAATTCTCATCAGTTGTTTATTTTTATAATTTTTATTTCAGAGTACCAAGATGCGGTGGTAAAACTTCAGCACGACAACTCCTAGATCAAGACAAGGATTTATTTGAAGATGTATATTTCCTCGTTTTTTTATTTACTATAAATTCAATCATATTGTTCTTCTATAATCATAGTTTCGTGATATAATCGAAAAAAAACTTCAAGAACAATTTGATATTCCAAAAGATTATAAAATCAAACCGACTAAAGTTCAAACTCAAGTAGTTGCTGGTACAAGATATTTTTTTTATGTATGTACTGAAATGATTACATTCATAGAAATCTCTCTAATATGTATGTATATATTGTTTAGATTCTTCTTCCAAATGATAAATTTGCTCGTGTAAAAGTTTTTAAGCCACTTAAAGGTCATGCACTTGATACTGGTGATCGACCTTCACTTGTCACCGTTGAAAAAGAGACATATGATGATTAAAGCCAAGCTTTTTTTCGGAACTATTAATGATTTATTTCATTCTATTCTCTAATAAATAACTTCGCACGATGTAAATTTATATAATCTAATATTGATTCAATTTTTAATTTATTGTACTTAAGAATTTTATAGTGATATATGCATACGATACAATCACAGATTTTAATCTTACTTAACATAAATATCACATAACAAACACACTAATAATTACATATGAAGAAAAAATTATTTTAATTACAGTTAAAATGTCGTTATAAATTGTCTTTTGAATGTTTATTTGATAAGAAACCATGTTATTCCAAGTGGTGGAAGTGAAATAGGTAAATCAATATGATAATCTCGTGCTAATGTATAATTTTTCCATGTATTTTCTTGTTCTGATATTTGTGCTATGTCGGTTAAACCAGTATAATAAAGTGGAACAACTAAATTCGTATTCACCGTATCTGATGTAGGATTAAATACCATTGCAAGACCTTTGATATCCTTTGAATATGGATCAACATGCATATAACTATCAATGGATTGCATATCAGCTCGACGAACATGAATAATATCACGAATTAGAATAGGTCGATATTTCTTATAGAAATTAACCCATTTGATAACTAATGCTTTTGTTGCATCTGTATCATATAAACGATATCCTCGATAACAAGCAGCAACACCTGCACCTAAATATTGTGCTAAAGCCCATTCATATTCAATTTGATGTGCAACAAGTGGTTCAAATTGTGCTGCATCACCACCACCATGATACACAGTCAATGGTACAAACATCCATCCGACTGTTGGAATTCGTTGATATGTATCATCAAACATTCCTTGCCGTGAAACACTAATATCCATCCATCGTGGTAATGAATATTGTTCTTCATTGTAACCCATACCTGTTTTTGAACCACCTTGATAAAAATAATAATCTGGTTGATTGATATAAACAGAACGTTCTCGAAGTATTTTAAAATAATTTGCTTGTAAAAGATTTTGTTGATATATACTATCATCATTATTACGATGATGTGAATGAGTAGTTGATGCACATGAATATCCACCATATGGTCCATCAGTTTCAACCATCATTAAACCAGTACGATCCATAAATGTTAATGTACGATTTAATAAATAATCATACCAACCAGATGCAAAACATGCATTATCACGTGGCTTACCAGTATCGGGATCAATAGCCATCCATGCTGGTCCAACGTCTCGTGTTAATGCAATTAAATCATAACCACCAACTTCAATACCTTTACTAGTTGCATATGCAATATCACTAGTTATTTGTTTTATATATTTTTCATCATTTGATTCCATATCAAAACCTGAACCAAATGAATAAATAAGCATTTCAAAACCAACTTCAGCCATTTGATCAATAACAGCACGAACTGCGGACGAACTACCATTAATCATATGAAAAAATATTGGATTTTCTTGTGTATGTGGTGCTAATAAACGAAAAAGACGATGTTTAGATAAAGCAACACGTTCAACATTTGATGAACCAATAACAAGTTCATGAACACGAAATGATGATAATTGTGTTCCAAGTGTAACAACTAATTCATGATCTGTTTGATATGTACAATTAACTAATGGTGGAAATGATCCTGGAATTGTATTTACTTCAACATCATATGTCCATAAAATATTTGTACCATGACCAGGTGATTGATTATTTTCAACATATAACCATGATTCACCAAAAGGTGACCTACAAAAAAAAATAAATAAGAAAAAACATAATTATTTATTCTTTTTAAATATACCATGGTTGATTAACAGCTAAGAGTTCCACTGAATTAAATGATAGATCAATATCACCACGTCCACTTGTATCAATAATATCAAGCCATTTTACAAGTAATGGTATACCATCATACATTTCATAGTTGACAACAACAGTAACATATTTATGTGATAATGGTGCATAATATGGTGCTTTAAAATAGACACTTAGATGAACACCTTTTGGTGGCCATTCAATATCCGCTGGAGCAGATCGTTTTGGTGTATATGCAAAAGGAGCTTTAGGTTTTCCAACTTCATATGTTGAAAAATGAAATGCTTTTGTATCAATTGCTTTATTTTTCCAAAAATCAGTTCGATTAAAATAAGCACATTGTGTATTTGGTATAACTCCACCAATATTATATTCAATACCATCAAGTGTTATTATACTTTCAGGTTTAACACATCGTAATATACTTGAATTTGTTGCATGTAAATCACGAAAATCAATTGTAGCAAAATCAGGTTCAATTAAAAATTCTCGACTAATCAAACTATTCGAAAGAAGTAATGTACCTAATGGCGTTTTTGTAAGTGTTGTTACATCACTGATTTTATCAATTAGCCAATCTCTTGCTGAAATAATATTGATCAAGAATAAGATATACCAACTACAATAATTATAAAATTTCATCTAAAAATAAACTATTCATTTAGTATAAAAAGGGCGCATACGATTTGTCAATAAAACAAAAGACAAATGGATGTCGTCATATTTATTTTATCTTATCAAACAATTTCTATATCAATATAAATATCATTTCGTTTCATTTTCAACAAGTCTAGTCTTTCTAATGACAACAATCGAACGATATCATCGTTTACAACATGAATATGATCATTATAATCGTCGTTATAACATGTTACATTCTATAACTATACAAAAACAAGATGAACTTGATGATTTAATGAATCATATGAATGAATTATTAGTATTATTAGATGAGAGAACAAATAATTCTTTTCAAATCGGATCATCTATTTGTGTATATGATCATGGTGATCATTTGACAATGCCATCGATGATAGAATCCGAAAAGAATGAAGAATCTGATGATGATGATCCTTTACTACAACGTCTTAAAATAACAAAACCAAGTCGATTAAAAAGTTCAACAAATCAGTTTTTTAAATGACAATAAATAAATTGAATGATTAAAATCTTTCTGAATGATAAATATGCCAAAGAATCTAATACAAAAAGCATATAGAATTAAATTTTAGGCCACAAAAAATATTTACTAATTCATTTGTTCGACTATACATTGAAGTACATTGTTTAATTGATTCTCTATCGGTATTTATTTCTTTCATTGTTAATAATGGATGATCATTTTTTAATTGAGTTAATTTTTCAAGAAAATATTCATAAGCAGGACATTGAATCGAAAGTGTTTCAACATAAAAATTAATTCGTTTTTCAATGGTTATATAAATTGAATGAAGTTTAGATTTTGTTTGATAAAGTTTTGTAAATACATCAAATAATGCATCAGTTAAATCATCAACATATATAACTAAATTACATCAACGAAAGTATTATTTAGAAAAAAAAACCATATTCGAAAATACCATCAGCTGCAAGTATAATTTCAATTTGATTATCTATTTCATTACAATCAAATTGTTTCCAATCGATTTTTTGTATTTGAATACATTCTTTTCGACATATACTATCATTAATATTGATATTTTCTTGAAGTACTTCTAATAGATTATTATCATGATCTGTAAGAAAAATAAGTTTTTGGAAGAAAAAGAAATTTTTAATTTACCAGTAGAAATAATTCTTGATGCAAATCGACTTGCAATAAGAGTACAAAGACCAATTCCAGCACCTAATTCAAGAATTGTTCGATTTAAAAATCGATCTTGATTTGTTAATATAAAATCACAAAGAAGCAGCGAACCATTCCATAATTGATATCCACATTGTGATACATTTGTTTCATTACGATGAACTATAGAATATATAACAAAAAATTAACTTGAAGACGTTATAAAAAAATATTACATCAAGGTAGATAGTGAAATAGTATTACTTTTTATTATTATTATCTATGACCTACTAATATTTACAGAAGATAAATGAATTGAGACATATATGTTAGTATCGTAGAATTTTTCTAACAGTGCTTATGAATACAATCTTATATATTCATTTCACTATCTATACTCCTTCGTTTTCATATGATTATTACCTAACGTTACATCAATACGTTCTGGACGAATTAAATCTAGATCACCATCATCATCAACATGAATATCTTCATTATTCTTAGTTGATAATATAAAAAATTGAATCGAATCTCTCGAAAATTCTTCATCATTTGTTGAGGAAAATACATCCGAATGAATAAAATATTGATCATTTTGTTCTTCAAACATTTATCAAAGAGACAGAAGAAGAAAAAAAAAAGTTGAAAGAAAATCCAATAACAACAACAACAATAATAATAATTATCGAGAGAAAAAAGAAAGAAGATGAAATAAAGAATATTAATCTATAAAATAACAACAAATAAAGCCATACAAAACAACAAATACAATTGACTTTGTTTTATATTTTATTTTTTTGTTTGTTTGTGCAAATATCTAATTAAAAGAAATAACTAAAATAAATCGACTACCAATAATTTGGATCATCAGTAATTCCAAGTTTATTTCCTAATCGTCGGAATTTTGCTCGAACTTCTTCTTGCATTAAATTAAAACACATGGCCATTAATGATAAACCAAGTAGAACATAAAGAGCACAGATGATTAATTTACCTTCAACTTGTGTTGATGTTATAGATTTACCCGGTACAAGATCACCTAGAAAAAAATAAATAAATCGAAACGTTTTTTTTAAAATTCAACTATTTTGATTGTACCTAAACCGATCGTTGCAAGTGTAACAAAACAAAAATAAGCACCGTCTAAATAGTCCCATTTTTCCCATTGGCTAAAAAGTACTGAACCAAGTATCAAATAAGATGATAGTAATGAAAGTGTAACACTGATCGGTATTGTAACTTTACGATAATCAATACTAAGATTATCAACAAATTCGACGACATTCTGCGGTGGAGGTTGTTCAAGATCATTTGTAGGTGATTGAATTGGATTTGATGCTAATGTTGTCGTTATTGGAGATGGTGGTAGTGATGCTGCTGTTGCTGCTGCTGCTGCATTACGTGATAATTCAACAGATTGTAATGCACGTAAATTACGACGTTTTTTAACCATATTACAATACGAACAACATATATTACAATAGATAAAACGAAATGCATCTGCCATTGTTGAACCAATATTTGCTAAACATAATAGCATTAATGGAATACCAAATATAGCATAGATCATTGTCATAATTTTACCATAATCTGTTTTACTATAAATATAACGAGCAAATTAAGAATTATTAAATGATATTTACTTTACGAAAATGAGTATTGAGTAGTCAAGTTAAGTGTGCTCCAAACTTGAAGTTTCAGTATGTCTAAGTTTTCGCGAAAAACTCCACCTGAAAACTGTAATTGTCTGTTTTTGATTGCTCTAATAGATACTCTGGACTGTGCTGAGTCGGCCGGTGATGCTCAAGAAAAAAAAGCACACAGTTACAAGCTACAAATTGTTGAAAAACTTGAAATTTGGAGCTCACTTAACTTGACTGTATTAGGTTAAGTTTGAAGTCATTATAGCTATTTTAGAGTAATAGTAAATAAACAAAGATAGTATTCGAATGTTAGACAAATAAACAGAATCAACAAAGTAATCGATTATTTCCAGATGGATTAGATTATTTCAATTGAGAATTATTCTTATTCTTTCATTTCAAACAATTGAAATATCTTTTGATCAATTCATAGTCAACAGCTGTATGTCAAAAAGAATGTTCTTTTTTTTTCTATGTTGATATAACTCATCTTAATGTCAATTGCAAATATAATCTTGTTATCAATAGATGGACACAGTTGTTATTGTTATTGTCTATGAACTAATCAACAGAATCTGGAAATCTATTCAAACCAAGGACAATAACTATACCTTTGAAATCGATTAACCTATTCTTTAACCTTAGAATGAATACATACCAAGTAATATGTCCATAACCTAAAGCAAATGATAATATTTATTAATATGAATCGATTAAAATAAGAAAAATTTAGTTTTTTTACCTATCGTTGTTATAACTGTAATTGCATAGAGAATAGCTCCTGGATAATTCCATTGTTTCGTATCATCAGAAACACGTTCACCTTGAGAACCACGTTTTGTTCGACGAACTATATCTTTTTGATAATCTTCAAGTATTTCTCTTGCTTTAGGTATCCAATTATCTTGATATAAAAATGATGAATTCATACTATGTTCAAATAATTTTTCAACTGTTATATTTAAATGTTGTTGAACTTTATTAATATCGGCTTCTTCTGAATCTGATTCAAGAAATTGAAATACCATACCACCACCAAATGCATATGCCACAACAAGTAAACAAAGGCCAACACGTGAAAATATAAATGTTGTAAATGATTTACAACAATTTTTACAGCGTTCCATTCTTTCAAAATGTATACTACGTGGTATTGTTGGATTTTGACTAGCTGTACGTCGTTGCTGCTCTTGAAGCAGCTCATCTCTTCGTTGTTTCCTACCAAGACGAAAAAAGAACATTTTCTAATATAAATAATTGTAAGTGTTAATATATGTGTATATATAAGCCAACAAGAAAAAGAACTTGTTTGATTGAAATATATGACGAATTAAGAATAACAACTTAGTCAATGATGACGATCAAAGTAATAATAATAGAGATACTTCAGTATCAACAATAGCATTCAGCTTGAGACCGAAACTGAGAAGAACGAGATAGGCGAAGGAGAGTGATTAATTCATCCAATCGGTAGTTTTATAAGAAGAACAGGATCTGTTTACTTGATATCTCTGATCGGCTCTAGTGACGACAAAGGATAGACAAAAAAAAAGAAAGAAGAAAAAGACGAAGATATTAGAGCATACACACACAAATCATCCGATCCTTTCCTGATACATAAGATCTGTATACACACGACTGTTATCAACAAAATGGACAAATTAAAGCAAGCCCATTATTCGGTAATAGACATAACATGTGCTTTTTAACAATAGGCGGTCGAAAGAGAAGAAAAAAAAACAAAAGAAAAAATATCTCTCAGAAATCATTCATTAACGGATATTCTCTTGTATCCATAGAGAGTGACTAACTAACTGATAATATATATATATAAGGAACGAGGGAAAAAAACTCGAGCAGAGCAAAAGATAATCTTTTGTATTATTACTGACATTTATCATATTCTGATATATATAGATAGATAGAACGAGCTTCTTTTTTTATATATAAGAATTATGATCAGTGGTATACGTGATGTAACATTTATCAATTGTGCTAATCCTCTCGATAAATTATTATAGATCAGTCAAGTCTGTACTTTTCTTTTTCCTTCATTACATTATTAATGGCTATTCTATTATGATTGAATAAATAATATATTTTTTCGTATAATTTAGTATATTGTTATATTCAATAGAATACTCACGAAAGATCTTCATTTGCTAATGCTGATGTTAAAGCAAGATTATCATAGAGACTTGCAATACTTGAAGAATGTTTTCTATTATGTGTTTGTGACAATGACCCATGATGATGATGATGGTGATGGTGGTGGTGGTGTCTATTTTCTGTCTCGAACAACATTCGTATTGTTTTTAATCAGCTGACTTTTGAGGTCGCAATGTATGTTTTTCTAGCACACTATCTGCACTCTTGTTTATATTCGCCATTTTATCTGTGACTACAGCTACTACTAGCAACAATAATACTAGCTTTTTCTAAGTATCAATCGTCGTCTCGTCGTAGCCAATATTATATACAAAAAAGTATCAACATATTTCAGTAATGTTAGCAAAATGTTCTTTTCTATTGCTTCGCTTGTTCTATATTCTTTATATATATATATATATTGTCTAATTATGAGACAATTCCCATTTGTTTGATTGTTTAACACATATATATATAGGAATAAATATCGAGGATTTCTTTTTCTTTCTTGGACATTTATTGTAAGTAATCAAGCAGAAGAATAATAGTATACATAATAATATGTTAGAAAGAATCGAGGACGGAGGTCGCGCAAAAGTAAGATATAACACATACAAAAAATAGCAAAAGAAGTTTACCCATGAATGTGTCAACAGTGTATAAGAACTTACAATTATCGCCTGTATATACATACATATATATCCTGAGGTTATAAATTTTATGATATCTTTCTCTAATCAACAGGTTCCTATTTATAAACAGTTGTCATCTATTATAAGATAGCTACATCTATATGCAATCCCTAGATGTAAATAAATCGAACAATTATTCTTGCAATTAACTTGCTGACAGGTGAATATCATTCAAGAATGTATTAGTTTTATGTTTACAAATATATATGAAACTGACTATTCAATTTCAAACAAAAGATATTAATATAATTATCTATCTTTAACAAACAGATGTTTAGACATATCTAAATATTGTGAATGATCACCTGCTTACTGTATACATTAATAAAGATGAAAACGAACAGTTGTTAATAATATAAATACAAAGTCTTAAATAACTAACTGTCGTTGTTTTTGAGTAAATGAATATATAACAAATGTTTATTTCTATGATATCTTTTTTATTAGACGGAATTCATTAGAGTGACAAGTATAATTTATTAATATATAAAATATACTACCTTTCCTTGATTGAAGTTTTAAATTAATAAATATACCTTAATTTGTTGTTGTCGTCTCATTATTAATTGCTGTTGTTATTAATCTATTTAATTGTGATTAACTCCAATAATTCACGTATACTTGTTCTATTTTCGAAAAGATATAGAATACACTTCTTTCTATCCTAATATATATATCTATATCTCTGTAACTATTTCTTTTTTCTATTTCTCTCCCGGTTTTTTCCTCGCATTTAATAAGCTCTTTTCTTTGAGTTGTCACCACTCTTAATCGAATGACATGTGTAAAGACTTATTATTAGTTTGTTCATATGCATACACTTAGAAATGCACGTCGATCAACGGAATCAAACATTATCTTATGATAGAATATTCAGAGGAGAGAGAGATAGGAAAAGCACTTACACAAATTTCCCCATGAGATATCAAATATAATTGAATAGAGATCAATGGAATACAATTAAGGACGAAGGAAATCAAGATGGTAAACTATAAGTAATATTGAAGATAAGTATTTGAAAATATGTGAACTGATCTTTATTGTATAACTACAGAATAATAATATTACAAATGAATATAATGTGCATCGGATGAATTATTCAGGAAATTTGAAAAAAAGAGAAGAACTGTCATGCTATGTTAATAAGATTCTTAGTTGTATGGAAATTCTATATACTGATTTGAATTTATCATAATCAAGATTTATTGCCAACACATACAAGATTAATATTTTTGAATCAATATTCAAAGATAATGAATGCTAGTTATAGTATTTCATTCATATATCAGTCAGCTTTTATTTAAAAAAAAAGAATCGATAGATACATTTATACACGATGATCTAGCATGAATAATGATACATATAGTAACTAAATACTAAGATCATCATTTCTTCTTAGTCACATATATATATATTTGAAAAGAAATAAATATATTCATGAATGTTTCTAGATCCTTCTCAATACGAGTAGTAAATCTAAAGAAATATTCGTATGCGTTCTCTATGTTAAGAGAGGAGATCAGTATTCTGGAATACAAATAGTAACTACTACTTTTTCGATTTCTACATATTATAAAGTATGTTGTTTTACTTACTTCACTGCACTATTTCGACGAAATACGTCAAATATATCGTTGAAAGCACGATAGTAAAGAAGAGACATTTAATGACGATATAACGATTAAATAATCAAATATATATTGGTGCCGAAGATATCAAATATAGTAAGAAAAGATAGAAGAATAATAAAGGATAACACAGTATGTTGCCTAGCAAAACAAATCAGTTTTATTATTGTTTCTCATAAACACTACAGTTTCAGTTGACTTTTTAATACATAAGAAAACTACATATCTTATTCTTCGAGTAGAGTTATGTAAATATAATCGTATCTATTCATGTATATATATATAAGCGTTACTCTGCTAAGCTGTTAAAACAGACAACTACGACATATGCCCACATAAAAAACTTTTCAAGATCGGTATTTGTGCAACTGTCGTGTGGATATATCCTAATGTTGTTGTCAGTGCCGATGGGTGAGGGTGATAAGTTTGCACCAGTGCGAATAGACAGTTATCAATTAGCTGTTGATATGAGGATAGTGATTTATATCGTAACGAATCAGAAAAAAAAGGCAGACGACAAACTTTGTACTATAACATCGAGATCACCTATTAAATAAATAAATTCAAATATTTTTTACCTTCCAGTTCTATGTAAAACCCGAGAAATATTATGGATAGTACTGTAAAACATGACGGTCGTGAAACTAGTAATAGTTTCTATTTCTTTTCTAATGTAAACTCTATTTGTCAAAATATTTTTATAGGCTCATTTTCTAAGCTATTAATTATAGTCGGAAAAAAAGTAATAATACATTTGGGAGGAAAGAACTGACAGTTGTTCATAAATATGTAATTCAATTATTAATCGATTACTGAATTATCGACACATAAAAAAAATGTATTATAACTTTATTTTACGTTCTCACCTGGTTGGTCTTGAAAAATAATACATGAGAAACGTTCGTTGTAAGTCTAAGTAAAAGCAAAATAAATCATTTTATATAAGAAGACTAATCTCTCATTTTTTTCGATTATTTATCGGAAGAGAAAAGCACGTACTTGTAGAAGATCAATAATAATTTGCTATATATATATTATCGACAAAGAGAGAAAGAGTGAATGATGAAATGTTAATTAAATGCTCGAACTTTTCTATGAATTTTACTCTTTGTAAATAAATATAAAGACAAATAACAGCTAAGATGAGAAAATGAATGAATATAAACTAGTAATAGCAAATGAAAATGCCAGCCTCCTGGTGAGAATTGACCTACAATCAATAAACACCTGTTTTGATCTTTATTAGGCGAGTCAACATCCTAGAGAAATCTGTGGGTTTTGGACAAATTTTTTCCATTAATGATGTACAGTTGATTTCAAGTATATATGTTTTGTTTACTTTCGACAAATATAAAATTTATTTTCTAATACATCATTCTTTGTTATTAACGAAATCGGAATAATTATCTTTCAAGTTTGAATGAGCATGCAACTAGTACATAGAAAGATCCGAAAAAAATTATTTAATATAAATCTGTTTCTATAATAATATATAAACATAAGAGTCTTGCTTTCATAATTATTCTTTCGTAGATAAAAACCAGAAAATAGAAGATTACTATATTGGTATACAAATTCGATAGGATCACTAGAAAATATCATATTGTTTATAACATCAAACTAATCGAGCTGATGGATAGTTCCCAATTACCAAAAGCTTGTTATATGAGGATAATTTTTAAAAAGATTAATTTCCATTCAAGATTTTAAGATACGATGAAAACTATTGTGAGCCAATTGAATTGTTTCTATTCGAGTTAATTGATTCTTTTTATTTTGATGTAATGCACATCTTGAAGTAGTTGAATTTCATTTACGTATTAGTTTCATGACAAAACATTTTTGTCAATGAAATATTTAGAACTATCCAGTTGGATATTGGGTTGTATACCATGTTGATCTACACATACGAATGTTGACAATGTCATCTGTTCTTTTCTTTTCTCGTTTCTCTTCGATTATCGATCAGTATCTCTATGCCTCTCATATATATTGCGACTATCAATGGAATCAATCCATAAAACATTTATGTCATTCTCTACGTTTTCACTACCTAAATATATAATTCAATTCAAGCATATTGTACTTTAGAAATATGATCATCATAGTTTTTCGTTACAGATTCAAATTATGAACTAGGTGCTTTAAAATCAAAGATGATTGATCTCATCATTGTAATTAATATCTTTTTATATTTGTTAGTCTGTCGAGAAAATAGCGTATTAATTATTGACGAAACATCGTATTCATTCCATTATGCTTCTCAATTAAAATCTTATTACTCTTGCTCAACTACTGTTAATCTTATTTACAAAATATTCAGTTTATACTAAATATTATTATTTTATTGGAGCTGTTCACAATTCAAAATCAAGTACATGGATACATTGAATTATATTAATCATAATAATTAATGTATCATAGATATTATATAATCTATACTAAATATATGGGCTGCTGACGGATTAGTAGAAATAATTAATCTATATTTAATTTATATAAAGCAAGGATCTTTCTCATAATTATGCAAATTTAGTACATGCAATACAAGTTGATAGATGCAAATGAATTATGACTATTCTTTGTGTGTTGATAGTTTTCGAAATGTATGTGCAATTATACGATCTCTTAGAAATTGAATTCGTACACAGGAGAACGAAATTAATAATCCATATCGAAAATCT